TCAGAGACCAGGAGGAAGCACCTGGCTCCTGGCTTCAGATTGGCACAGCACGCCGGCCGTGGCAGCTATTTGGGGGGGTGAACCAACGGAAGGAAGACCTTTCTATCTCTTTCTCTCTCACTGTCTAACTCTGCCTGTCAAAAAAAAAAAAAAAAAAGTACTGTGCAATTGTTTCATAGTCTCTCTCAAATTACAGAAAACAGTGAAGGTATGAAGAAATCCTGTCTAGCATCCTCTTAAGTACGTCCTAGTATAAAGGCTCCAAGAACTTCAAAATGGATTTCAGCACTCAGCAGTTACAACTATTAAATTCTTCTCAGTTTATACTGATCCAAGCCAAGAACAGCTGGACAAATTGCTTAATCGGGGTACCTGAAGTGATAAGCAGCCATTCATAGGGCATAAAGCTTTAAAATTAGATCAAGCAATTCTGAGAGACAGTCGGTCTCACCAGAAAAGTCATCCTACATATGTTTGTGCCCCACCACACTCAAGAGAGTCAGACAAGCTGTAGGTTTAAATGGTAAATTTTATGTTATGAATATTTTACCACAATAAAAAAAACCCTCCCCCCAAATAAGTGAGTGAGTATGTTAGGTGAAAGAACTCAGGTACTAAGGTATCGTATCATACAATTCCATTTATATGAAATTCTATAAAAGGCAAAACTATGGTGACAGAAAGCAGATAGGTTCATGGGATGGGGTGGGGGGTGAGCTGCAGAGGGACACGAGAAATTTTGAGAGTGATAGAAATATTTTTTATTTTGATTGTGGTGACAGTGATACAACTATATACATTTCAACCACACCAAACTGCATCCTTAAATCTGATAAATTTTATTACATTTAAATTATACTTCAATAGTCATTTAAAGATAGATCTAAAATGGGCTAGCCCTATTCAATTAATTATTTTAGAAAACAACAACAAAAACTGTGTTCTCAAATATCCAAGATCACAGAGTTAGCAAAACAGGACTAGAATCTAGTTCCATATCTGCAATCCAAAGCTCTTTGTACCATGTAAAATGATACTATTTGGCAGTAGGGGGTGATGGTGGTATGTGTTTATATTGGTGATTCATTATCTCCTACAATCCAGACTTGTAATCTTTTTTCTGAGGTTTAAAGAATACACTTATATTGGAAGGCTGTAATCAAAACATCTAGCAATATATGTTTGCTTTCTACAGGTAGTACTCAGACGTATGCATGCTACTTTGTAAAGCAATTACTCCATGTTCAAAATTCCAACGGAAATATCTTCTATGCCTGGATCTTAAATATATTCTGCTTCTGAAGCTGTACCCAAAAAAGGCTGATCATTTTTCCATAAGACTGTTTCTCAGCAATTTCAAAATGACTGAAGTCTTCTGAAATATTTTTTTTGTTGCAGCCTGAAAAAATCGTGGGCTCACACAGTCTCTCCTATACTAGCCACAATATACTCTGTACTTGTTTCATGTGAGTTTTGGTATTCAAACTATATACAACATGATGAATTTCATGCAAGCTCCTTAGACTTCAACATGATCATTACACTGCTAGGGAGATTATGCTTGGGACTGGGGGAGGGGCAGCCATATTACAAGTTACTGGCTAATTTCTGATTTCCTGGCAATTAAAACCTCTAGGTTGGGGCTAGCGCTATGCTGCAGCGGGTTAACACCCTGGCCTGAAGCGCCAGCATCCCATATGGGTGACGGTTCTAGTCCCGGCTGCTCCTCTTCCAACCCAGCGCTCTGCTATGGCCTGGGAAAGCAGTAGAAGATGGCCCAAGTCCTTGGGCCCCTGCACCCGTGTGGGAGACCCAGAAGAAGCTCCTGGCTCCTGGCTTTGGATCGGCACAGCTCTGGCCATTGCAGCCAATTGGGGAGCAAACCATCAGATGGAAGATCTCTCTCTCTCTCTCTCTCTCTCTCTCTCTGCCTCTCCTTCTCTCTGTGTGTAACTCTTTCAAATAAATAAACAAATAAATCTTAAAAAAAAAAAAAACTCTAGGTTTTCATTACATAAGGTACAGCTAAGACATATCTTTAAATTTTAAATCTAAGGGCAGACCTTTAGATTTGTTTCTGTAAAATAATATTTTAGTTTCTTGTTCTGAATAGACTAAATATTTTTGGACTCTTGATCCACATCAACATATTAGCTACATTTTTGAAATATTTCATATTTGACTATAAATTTCTACAGGAGATTTAAACACAAAATATTTCACATCTAGGGCTCAGAGACAAATAGCTGTGATGTTTCCTCCCTTCAGAATGAACAGTCTCTCAGCCGGCGCCGTGGCTCACTAGGCTAATCCTCCATCTGCGGTGCTGGCACCCGGGGTTCTAGTCCTGGTTGGGGCACTGGGTACTAGTCCCAGTTGCTCCTCTTCCAATCCAGCTCTCTGCTGTGGCCTGGGAGTGCAGTGGAGGATGGCCCAAGTGCTTGGGCCCCGCACCCGCATGGGAGACCAGGAAGAAGCACCTGGCTCCTGGCTTTGGATCAGCCATAACGGCCATTTGGGGAGTGAACCAATGGAAGGAAGATCTTTCTCTCTGTCTCTCACTGTCTATAACTCTCTCTCTCCCACTAACTCTGCCTGTCCAAAAAAAAAAAAAAAAAAAAAGTCTCTTGATATAGTGAATCCCTTATAAATCCACCTAATTTTACTACTTGCATCTATATTCCTCTACCTGGACTAGAACCACCACGGGAGAGCCTATCAAATAACCTGAAACACCACACTTAGGCACAGTTTTTATTTATTATAGAAACAAAATTACTTTATTATGACATAAGAGTGAATTCACTTTTACTGAGTCAAGATTCTTTCCCTTTTTTTTTCAAAGTTATTTTCCCAACTGTTCACAAAACAGACGTTCTAGAAATTTTTTTTTTTTTTTTTTTTTGACAGGCAGAGTGGACAGTGAGAGAGAGAGAGACAGAGAGAAAGGTCTTCCTTTGCCGTTGGTTCACCCTCCAATGGCCACCGCGGCCGGCACGCTGCGCTGATCCGAAGGCAGGAGCCAGGTGCTTCTCCTGGTCTCCCAAGGGGTGCAGGGCCCAAGGACTTGGGCCATCCTCCACTGCACTCCCTGGCCACAGCAGAGAGCTGGCCTGGAAGAGGGGCAACTGGGACAGAATCCGGTGCCCTGACCGGGACTAGAACCCGGTGTGCCGGCGCTGCAAGGCGGAGGATTAGCCTAGCCTATTGAGCCGTGGCGCCGGCCTAGAAATTTTTAATTAAGCATCACCAAGGTCACCAGAGACTTTTCAGAAATGTACCCTTTATTTACTACTTTCCATAAGAAATGCATTTGTTTACCATTAAAGCTCTTTGTATCTTTAATTTTTCTAAAATAATTTAAATATTATGTTTCCATGATCATATTATAAATCAAGTTTTATATCTAGTAATATGCAGCTTGAAATTGGAAATTTAACCAATGCTCTGTTACCTATTCTTTTACCTATTCTGAGCATCACTGTTTTATATGTCTATCACAGTTAATTTCATTTTCGGAACTCATCTCCATAGTGGGATAAAAATGGAAACAAAATTAGAGATCTTCTTATCTTTGCTATATTTTAGCTCCTATTATGTCCTTCAAAAAGAGCAGACTTTGTTACACTTTTAATTTTAAAAAGTCACAGTTTATTCTGGCCAGTTTTGCTTTTCCTGTTAATCTTTTCATTCATTATAAACCAATGTTCTATCCTTTCAATAAACATCTAATTTTAGGTATCAATAATTGAAAAACAATGCAAAAAACTAAATTCATTATTCTGAAGAATGCTGAAGCTTAAGCTAAATTCAAACATAATACTTATCTTCCTTTCTAAAACAAGCATGTTGAACTGATAGTTCATTTCAATACAATTCTCAACTGATTCAGTTGTTTTGTTTTCATGCTTTGACACCAATATTTCAAAGGTGAAAATATTTGAGTTCCTATCTTTTTAGTTCCCCTATTCAATTTTCTTAACCATCTAATAGTACGAAACATATTTATGGCTCTTTCAATTACCATTTTTTCTTTTGCTTTTAGTTTTCTGATTTTCATACCTAGATGACAATGTGGTTTCTTAATTTTACTAAATAAATCAATATCCAAATTTGTGTCCATACTATTCATCTTCTGTATCTCTATAGAGTACTAGGTTTAACACAACTTTTTCTGCCCACTCCTATTACAATTTAGCTTCTATCTAGAACAGAAAACTGAAAGAAGAAATAATTTTTCAAAGATAAACAGTTTAGTTTTTCTTTTTAGCCTTCATATTCCTGATTAAGATCACCAAGTTAATCTAGTTTTGCCAATGGAAAATGATTTCTAAGTTGCAAAACATAACTAAGGCAAGCTATACAACCAGTAACTGCTCAGTACCCTATGCTAGTCACCAAAATTTTTAAAGAGTTATATTTTTTCATCTGGATATCTTCTCTTGAAAAAATGCAGTCATACATCTTAATCCATAATTCAATGTCTTAATACAGTTAAGTTTAAGTTACAAAATATAAACTGCCACACTATCAAAGCTTTAAATGAGACAACTACATATTTTCTGCATGTTGGGTAATATTTCAACTGCACAATGAACAAAAACTAGCTGAAGTTAGGATTCTAAAATTACCATTGGCAAAATAATATCTATAATGAAACAGATCTCAAACCTAAAAGGTAAGCCTGACATACCATATACACTGCTCATTTTCTATGACTTAGAACATAATGTCGGGAAAGAAAATATTATCTATTTCTAACAAAACTACACAGACAGTACAAAGATAAAAAAAACTTAGAATAAGATAAGGAATCTATAGGTCACAATAAGATCCCTAAAGCTCTGTAGGCCACAAAATGGTATAATTTAAGAGTTCAATTGAAGTTGACCACAAAGTTACTTAAAACAAGGGCACAGAAGCTGTGCTTTTTTTTTTTTAATTTGGTTTAAAGGGAAGGGGATGAGAAAGATGAGAAGAAACACTAGCAGACTCCTTACCCATTGCTGCTGATGCTGGAGCTTCCTGATGATACTCTCAGCGTGCTCCAGTTTAGCACTGGCCTCATCACTCTGCTGTTTGATGGTGGCCAGCTCCCGTTTTATGAGGTAGTTTTCCTCAGCCTCCTGGGCTCTTGTCACTTGTCCCTTTTGTCAGGACATAATTTTTTGTGTGTGTAAAGCAATTTAGGATAGATTCAAGAAAGACTGTCTTGTGAGGTTTAGTTATTTACTTTGACATGTTAAAAAAAAATTACCTCAGAGAACAAAACAGCCTAGGTCATTATTAGCTAGCAGCTTGTTACTGTTCCAGAAAATTTGGGGAAACTAAATAAAAATTTCATCGGACAATTTCAAGAATAATTTTCAGTCAATAAAAATTCAGTTCATGCAATATTACCAAATTATACATGCAAGGCTAAAATTTTCAATGAATAGTGGTTAATTTTGCAAAATCCATTGACTGCTATTTTGAAATAAATGTTTTAAAAAATAAGGTTAGCTTTGAAACGTGCAAACAGTACCTATTTTAATGAACCAAAATAAAACTGTTATCAAAAATTAAGTTTACATCCACAAATACCACCCAAAAGTATTATTTCTAGGGAAATGCATGTAAAGTTGCATGCATTAAAATATGAATTTCTAGGTTTAGAACTTTCCTTAGAAGTTAGAGAAAATGCTAAAAAAAAAAAAAAAAAAGATTGAAAAACTATACCTGTATCAATCTATCTGCCAAGGAAGCACTTTCCTACAAAAGGAAAAAGTCAGATGGAAATATAAGAGAAAGAAATAAAAGTGGTAAAATCAGGAATAAGAAGAAACAACCATACTCAAATTCCACCTACTTCTCATTACTAATTAAAATGGACATTTAAATTTCAAACTATTTTTTATTCAATGTGTTTCAATCCTTAAGTCTTAAGTATATCAAAACTAGGACAGACTGCAGAAAATCATGTGTTTCTAGAGGAGAACAACACAAACCCAAGTGGTTTTTCATTATTTGGCACAAACAAATATCTTCTTTAGAAAGCATACACATGAAAATCTTTATTTTTAGACTTAACTGTGTCATCAAACAACTTTTAAGAAAGAGAGAAGGAATTTGAGTAAGTAATTCCACTTACAAAGTATGACAGAAATTTGTGCAATAGCAAATTCCAGAGAAACAAATGAGGAAAATATGAAAAACGAAATTAAGCACTCCACCTAATGAACTCTTGGATTAACTGAGTAAATTTCTTGGTTATAGAATTCAATTGGTATATAAGTATTTATAGAACCTATACTATCTAAATCAGTATAAAGCAGGTACTTCATTTCCTAGCAAAATCCAAATGACACTTTTCTATAGCATCTTCATCATTCTGGAGGTTCAATGATTTTCAGGAAGATTTTAAGATTCTTGGTAATATGATGAGGGGAACTTTTAAATCTTATTCACATCTTTGGTCAAAAAAAAAGTACCAAGAGAGTTTGTGAATTTAGATGTATTTCTTTTAATAAAGCAAAGTTCCTGAACTATGCTTCTATCACTCGATTCCTTCTTACAGCACCAGAAACACAACTACAAAAGACCTTACACCAAAAGCACAAGAAGACAAATACTGCAAAATTTCCACATTTTCCCAGTTAATTTATAGGAAACAGCAAAGAGGAGGAAAAAGTAGATATAAAAATAATTCTAAGAATCGAAAGTTTATGCACAATTCCTTTGTGTTGAAAATCAAAATGACAGCAAATTTTCATTATTAGAAACTGGTCACTCTCACTAAACTTAAGCAATCCTAGGCCTTAAAGGAATCATTGCCACCTCCAAAATGTGTCTAGGAAGACAGGGCAACATTTTAAAAAAACCCATCTTTAAACTGCTACATCAGAAAATTTCTCAACTAGATTCTAAAAAATATATATACTTTTTAGAGATTTCATATAAAGAAAAACAAATGGCATCAATATATTACTCCAACAACTTAAGTTAAAACTTTAATAAGAAAATACAAAGAGTAGTACTGGTCAATTTTATTCATATCAAATTATTCTGTTAAAACAGTAAGCTAGGCAAGTTAGATAGGTTCATACCACAACTTAGGAAACATATAAGCCAAAGTTTTTAGGCTTTACTTAAGAGATACAGAAAAAATATTATGCATTCAACATAAATAGCTGCAAAAATAGTTATTTACTTACTTTTTCTAATGTTTCAATACGCTGTTTTAGAAGTCTATTTTCTGTGCGTAATCTCTGCCAAAGAAAAAAACAAAAACAGTTTTGTTTGCAACTATTCTTGAAAGGAAAAATGATTCCTAAATTGTGGTCCTGAAAATATACCACCTTTTATAAATAACAAGAGTCCAAGGTATGGCCACAGTATCATATGCCCAATGGTGAAAGCTCAGAGTAAAAAACACACAGTGAAGAAAATGAGCCTTTTTCACTCTAGATGTGGGTGAATTTTAACTATAAGCTAGAGTAAATACAGAAATAACTCCTGTCTTTTCTTTTTGAGAGAAAAGCAAGATTTATTTAAGTCCGAAACCTCCTGCTGCAGCAGCCAGGAGCTGGGCTCCAGAGAGGCAGATGTAAGGAACCACGAGCAGCTGAGTCTTTTAAGCACACTTTTGAACTCCTCTCTTTTCTATACTTATCATAATGACTCATAACTTTTTTCACATTTTTAACCTCCTCATAAGATAGGAGATATTTTATACTTGCCTATCTCCACAGAGCCTATCTATATAATGAGTATTCAAATGCTAGTTAAAGAAACAAGAAACTTGAAAAAATGCACAAAGAATAAATATCAAACTAACAGTTTAGAATAGACCACTTTCCATTTATGTTATGGATACCAGGCAGCAACATTTCTTACATTCTGAAAATAAAAAAAAAAAAAAAAAGAAAAAGAAACTGTACCAAACTGTTCAGTGCCTGGCTCCCAAAAACTTGTCAAATTATCGTTAACAAGTATTAAAGCCAAATCACTTTATGCTTTGAAAAAAATCACCTTTTAAAAAATCATATTCCATCAATATAAGTTCTTATTAATCCCGTGTACAAGTTATCTTTTGATTTTTACATATCCTATATGTTGTGCCTTCATTTTGCCATCACCTAAATTTCAAACTCCCTCTTACCTTTTAAAGCAATTTGTCCCAGATCTCAATCCAGTCTTCTCTCAACCCTATCTTCCTCTAAATTTGTTAGAAATGTCTTCCTCAGAAAATCTATCAATTCAATCTACTATTTTGCTAGTAAAGTCTTACATTGTTATATATGTAAGACTTTACTAGCAAAATACATACATATATATATATATAAAGTCTCAGGTTCAGGAAAATAAGAGACTCTATGAATTACTGTATCTTACTGGGTAGATCACAAATTAGAACAAATCTTAGAGTTATTACAAAGTATTTTGTAAACTAGATTTTCGTGTTTTATTCACCAAAACATATTTAGATGATTTGAACTAGACATCATATGAAGTCAGACTACAAAATAACAGCTTGGCTCCTCATCTCTTGGCTACTCCTATTACACAGTGCAGCATAGCAGTAAACATAAGATACAATTATCTAATGCTGTTAAAGTTTAGAAATTCAAAGAAACAAACAAGATTCTCAAAATGTCCTGCTATTTTTCATCAACAAAAGGTAACATTTTATACATCCTAAAACATTTGGAAAATTAAGTCCCAACCAGACAACTGAGTGAACAAAATTGGTTACAACAAAAATAGTAAATTTAGAATTAAAAACAGTGACCAGAATTTCCTACCCTCAACCCCTTCAAATCTTCTGAAACCCATTTTGCTATAAAGAAAGATAGAAATTGATTTTGCCCCAAAGCAAACATCTTAATACCACTTTGTAAAAAAACCATTGCTTCCTCATTTGTGTGACACCTTCATCATGATAATGATCATTTCAGTTACCTACAAATTTCAAGTGTATTATCTCTTCTGTACTAAAGTTCACAGTATTTTGATACTTACAGCTTTGAAATCCTTCTTGATATCAGGTAGAGTAGAGGTGATTTACCCCATTTTATATTATTTTGTTTATCCTCCCCAAACTTCAGCTACTTATATGCCAAAATAGCTAAGGTGCTAGGTTGTGAAGTCAGGCAGATTTAGGATCAAATTTTTATCCTACAACTAATAACTGTGCATGTTATTCAATGTCCCAGAATCTCCACTTCCTCGTCTAGAAAATTAGAATAAACCTTACAAGCATATTGAGAACATCAAATGAGTTAGCACAGCTCCTAATATATACCAAAGACTCAATTAATATAAGTATTACTTTTATGTTTTAGAACTATTAAGTTTTTTTAATCTGAAATTTTACAAGGAATTAAATTTGATTGGATTTGTTAAAATGTATTTTGTTGGAAAATTCTTATCAATATGTAACATAAAATTATTTTGTCTCTACCTTTACTCAATTTTTAAAAGCATTTCTATGGACCTGCGCTGTGGCACAGAGGGTAAAGCCACAGCCTGCGGTGCTGACATCCCATATGGGTGCCGCCAGTTCAGGTTCGGGTGCTTCACTTCCAACCCAGCTCCCTGCTATGGCCTGGGAAAGCAGCAGAAGATGGCCCAAGTCCTTGCGCTCCTGCACCCATGTAGGAGACCTAGAAGCTCCTGGCTTACAGATGGACCCAGCTCCAGCTGGCCATTGTGGTCATTTGGGGAGTGAACCAGCAGATAGAAGACCTTTCTCCCTCTCTCTGCCTCTGCCTCTCTGTAACTCTGTCTTTCAGATAAATAAATAAATCTTTAAAAAAAAAAAAAAGACATTTCTGTGTCCAGTTTTTCAATTTTTGTTAGGTTCTATCACATTTTTCATATAGGGTACTTCTAGATATGTTTTCATTTTTAAATGGAACTTTTTCCAAATTCCATATTTTTGAATTGTTTATTACTAGTAGAAAACAAGTAAAATCTACCTCTTGACTGAGTTATCATTAATTTATCAATATCTCCCTCATATTTTTCTTGAAGAGTTTTTCTAAACCTTACAGTTAAACACACACACACACACACACACACACACACACACAGAAGGATCACTAGATATGGCTACATAAACAGGTATACCCTGCACATAAAATAAAAAGTAAAGACTTCTTTGACCTACCAAACTACAAAAAGAAAAATGAAACTGGCAGAAAGAATGAAATACTTAGTCTTGGCAAAGGAACAGTGAAATGCACACTTGCTGTTAAGAAGATACCCTGGAAACACTCTTCAGGAAATTTACTTAATCAAAAGTCTTAAAAATGTTGGTATTCCTATAATTCAATAAGTTTACAATTTATACTGGCTGTGGAAACAACAATGCAAAAAATATATTATATATATATAAATAAAACATATTTTATATAGAAAATAGCATCTTTATAATGCTATTGGCATTATTTTTAATAATGAAATTGAAAAACCACCAAAATAGGGGAATCTGTTTCAAACAACTTACTCCTGAATCATCATCTCCTATTCTTTCCAGCTTACTCACTTTATAAAGTAACCCAGCCCCAACAATGCTCTTTTTCACTGGGACAACTCAGTGATCAACAACTTTTCATTGTCTCTCAATCCCTGAAGTCCTCTCTTCCCAATAATTACCTTCCTTCCCTTGTCTTTAATCTTTATTGCCCTTTACCCCTCTTTAGCAGTGCACTTGCCTGGTGAAATAACTATTCCAGATCAACTCTCTGGGAACTCAGTACCTGTGCTAGGAAATAAGGCCCAGTAAAAAAGCATCTTTACTTAAATTAATGATCACTAAAGTCAGCTGGATTCTTAATGCTTTCTAGCAAAAATAATACACATGTATTTCCTTAATCCATTCCTCGCCCACTCTTCTAGCTCACCATACTTGTCCCTCTTTCCCCAAACCAACAATCTACCAAGTACCATTACTCAGCTAATAATCTTATGTTCAATTTCACTGAAAAAAAAAAAAAAAGAAGAAATCAAAAGAGAACTTCACAAGGTCCCACAACCACCCTGTCTATCACCTATATTTTTTCCAACATATTTTACTTTATCTCCTGTTACTGTAAGTTATAGTAGAGTTATCCATTCTACTATACCAAGTTAGGTCTCCTACATATGCTCTAAATCCCGTACCCTCTGAACTCCAGCAATTATCCCTACTCACCCGCTATCATCTACTTTTCCCACTTCACTAACATCAAAATAGAATGCAGTTAATTCTCCCACCTAAGAAACAAACAACCACAGAAACACTGTAACATCTCTACCCTAACTACTGTCCTATTTCTCTCCTCTTTATAGCAAATTCCTTGAAAAATATCTCCAATTTTTCTAATTCCACACCTCTGTTCGTGTACAATTTGTTGCCATGCTGCTAAACCCAATGGCCATTTCTCTACCTTCATCTGTTAAAAACTACCTGCAGCACTGGACACACTGACCACTTCCCTTTTTCTGAAACATGTTCTCTTGGTTCCAAGGACCCTGCCTTCACTGGTTTTCTCCTACTTTACTGCTTTCTCCTCATCTTTCTAACCTTTAAACTTTGGCTTCCTCTTGGGCTCAATTCTCAAATTCCCTCTACCCTTTATCTATACTCATTCCCGAGGTAATTGTATCTATTATGGCTTTCAATACCATCATCCTGGCAATAATTGTTAAAATTTCTACTTTGAGCCTGTTTTCTCTTTACTGTAGATATAAATATTCAAGAGGCAATGGGCATCTAGTAGGCATTTCATTCCTAAAATGACCCAAACTGGACTCCTGATATTACCCCTAAACCAGTTCTTCCCATCATCTTCTCTATCTCAGGTAATGAGAATTCCACTTTTCTAACTGCTCAGGCCAGAAAGTTTTGACTCCTCTCCCTCTCTCATCTCTACATTCAATCTTTCAGTTTTGTCTTTAAAAATCCATTCAGAATTCAACTGCTTCTTATTCCCTCAATCCAAGCCACTATCATTTCTTAAAGAGTTTCATCTACTTGAAAGGCAGAGCAAGAAAGCGAGCAAGCGAGAATTTCTTCCATCTGCTGGCTTATTCCCTGAATGCCTCAACACCTAGGGCTGGGCCAGACTGAAATCAGGAGCACAGAACTCAACTGAGTCTCTCACATGGGCAGCAGGGACTTGAGTTCCTGAGTCATCATCTTGCTGCCTCCCAGGACACATTAGCAGGAAGCTGGGTTGAAAGCAGAAAAGCCAGGATACACACCAGGCATTCTGATATGGGA